TTTGGTCTGTGGGATAATTATTTTCAAAAATAGATAAAACAAACTCAATCCGCCTCTGCAAAAGGTTGATTAATCCGTTAAGGACACTTTCCATTGTATATAATTTGGAATATATATTTTAAAATTTATGTATCCTGAACTTGAAAGGAAAGCTGGGTTTACCTCTCAGAAAAATGCTTATTGGTTCTAGAACAAGTCATTTTATAAACCTTTATTGGTGTGACGCACCCAGCGCATGGGGTAATGAAATCTCTCCAGAACGGGAATGGCTTAATTGAAATCTGCCGTAAGGAAGAAGATTGTACAGCCTAGGTATGGGTATGAGTGAATATCATTTGACAAAGTGACTCTTTTAATGTGAGAGGAATCTCAGTCAAAGGAACAGCAGCGGCTTTTGGATTAATGTAAACAAACTCACAGCCGTGATTTTTTAAAAACCAATACACTAAATTGGTATAGCTGATGAAAAACGCAGCTCTATACCAGGGGAGGTAATCCAGGAGGATGGTATTATTACAAATAAGTATGTTGTTCTCAATAGGTGGAAGCGTGAATATCTGTCCTTACATAATACAGAACACAGTGATTTATTTTAATGAGGCCTATTTCCAGATAATTATAGGGGATGTTGCTAATGGAGAAGTTCTGTTATCCCTGTTGACACTGGTCTTTTTCGAAGCAAATACAAGGCATGACGAGGTCGAGACGGCTGTTAATCATACCAAATGTGGCAAGGCACTGGGTTTAGATTACATTTCAGCTGAAGCATTAAACAAATAAATCCTGCAGTCATATTCTGTAAAAGATTTTTGCACTTTTTTTCGAAAATGACATTTGTAATATGTTTGATAACAAAGTATTATACATCCTCTAAGAAACCATATGGGCCTGTTTGGTGATTTACCAAGGACGTGCAATTAAAGACACACAATACTTATACTTGGAACAAATAGTGAGAAACGATCATACTTTCATTTGGGTAAAAAGACTATTACTTGAAGGTGCCTTGAAATTTAATGGCGTAGAATTGGTGAACTACGAAAGACATGAAATAATAAAAGCAAAATATACATTCTTGGAACATATCCTAAGAAGTCATAATACTATGATTTACGTAAGTATGTATATGATAGATACACTTATTCCCGTTGGAGAAAGACCCTTTCAAGCGATTGTACTATTGCGTAGCTGCTCTCTACGTCTTTTCCCGAAATGGCGTAGAATTGTCTCATTTGGTGAACTACGAAGGACGCGTAATAATAGACATAAAATATTCATGCTTGAAATATATCCTAAGAAGCCATTATACTATGATTTACGTAAGTATGTATATGATACACTTATTCCCGTTGGAGAAAGACCCTTGCAAACGATACTACTATTGCGTAGCTGCTATGTATACAGCTTGCCTTAAAATGGCGTAGAATTGTCTCATTTGGTGAACTACGAAGGACGCGTAATAATAGATACAAAATTTTCATGCTTGGAATATATCCTTAGAAGCCATAATACTATGATTTACGTAAGTATGTATATGATACACTTATTCCCTTTGAAGAAAGACCCTTGCAAACGATACTACTATTGCGTAGCTGCTATGTATACGGCTTGCCTTAAAATGGCGTAGAATTGTCTCATTTGGTTAACTACGAAAGACGCGTAATAATAGATACAAAATATTCATGCTTTGGCTATATCCTAAGAAGCCATAATACTATGATTTAGGTAAGTATGTATATGATACACTTATTCCCGTGGGAGAAAGATCCTTTCAAGTGATACTACTATTTAGCAACTGTGTACAGCTTTCTTCCAAATGGCGTGGAATTGTCTCATTTGGTGAACTACACCAAGTAATAGACACAAAATATTGCCTTCCCAGTCATACTAGTTTTTTGTCTGCTATACACGGCTCTGTAGTTTCATATCAAATCCATTTGATTTTCAGTCATGCATTCATATGATTTGCATCGGTTTTTTTTACCTTTTAGGCCTGGCTGATAATCGAGGCTGTTTGTCTGGTGTTTTATCATTATATAGAGAATCTATTCTGGCTACTGTAAGCATTAAATTTGTGAAAGGACACTGTGAAGAAGGCAATGTTCCAATTTAAGTTTCCAAACGAAGCTAAGCTAAATCAAGTGAAATATGTACGTCATGTGATCGAGCGTTACGGGTATTGATATTTATTTTATATGTGTGCAAACAATTGAGATAATTTGCTATGCATACAAACCTAATTTTAATTACTACATGGTTTGTAGTATCAAACGCATCAATTCAAAACAAAAAATTATATACTCGAAATCTTCAAAGCATATTTTTGATAAATAACAACTCTGAATATATATGAAGGCATGTTCGAATCCCCACGTGGGTACAAAGTGTGAAGCCCATTTCTGGTTTCTCCCTTCATGATACTGCTGGAGTATAGCTAAAAGCAGCATAAAACCACCCTTAGTCACTAACTCACTATCATTCGATTAAATGAAGTTATCTCAATTGTGTAAGAGTGGCATGCATTAAGGGGTATCTCTTTTATATATACATGTCTATTATTTACAAACTTAACTTATATTTTCTGTCTAGTGTACCTAAGATTTAAATTTTATATATTATTTTAAATCTGTCCCAAACAAAGGGTTCCTGGTGTCATATAAGGTGTACATCATTCATATCCTAAAGCAAACACTGGATTGTCTGGTCCAGACTCAATCATTTACAGACCGCTGTCATACCGCTGGAATATATCTGAGCGCAGCGTTAAAAAACAAACAAACATATTCAAAGTGTAATCCAACATTTCTCTGATTAATGCTTCCAACTCATTTTCATGAATTTGTTACAGACAAATGTACCAATGTTTAACCACTCCCCCGACTTCACACACAGAATAATGTTGATTTTACATTTATATACATCAAACCTTCGTAGCTGTAGGCTCGGGGGTGAAACACTAAATAAATCACTATGCTTTTAGAATCTCATTTTCAAGTGCACCAGCCAGATGTATTTTACGTCCGTTTCCTAAGATTCACAGAAAGTGTTGAAGATTCTTTCGGTTTACAAATAAGATAAAACATCTTCGGATGATGATTTTCATTATAATTATTCAAAGCGGAACCTTAGACGGATGGACGAGCCGATCCCTAATGTAAATAATCTATGTCTTCGGAAGAATGTTTATGAAATAGGACTCGCATTAAGTCATACAAGATGGCCCGGTATTTAGTACCAATTAAAATAAAAGGCTGACAATGTTGCCCTGTTGTTGGAGTGACTATCACCTTGGTGATAATTCCTAGGAATATGACCAGGGTCATGTACTGGAGAATTGTGCCAGTGTCCATGATCCTTCACCATCAGTTTGTCATATCGGAAACAGAACTCGAATGTACCTCGAATACTCCGCTGATAATATTTGTGTCCATAAAAAAATTAGTTTTCATTTTTGGAACCAGACTGTTTAAGTGTACCGACTCCTCCAATGCCTCACCACCTTCAGTGCAGCAATACCACGAACAAGTCTACACCCAGGGGAGGGAACAGTCACCAGTCTATGATGATAATGAATAGTAGCATATTGAAACAATGCTTCAGAATCAAATAAAAATCCATGTCCTTTTGAAATGTTGATCTAGTTGTAGCATGTAACATATCTTTCTCACTGTTTCAAACAAAACCCACTGCATACATATGTAAATGCGTGCGTGCGTGCGTGCGTGCGTTTCTTTTCTTGATTAGCGCAATACGTTTTAGTTCACATTCTGTTGTCTGTTCCATTTCTGACCAAGCCCGCCATAACATCACGTGACTTATATAATTTCTCTACATAATGAAGAACCCTTTTCGATAAACGTTTTGGTAACACAAACCCATTCTTCCTTTAAAAGGAAATTATGGTACTAGTACCAGTCCGGCAAAGCGAGTCTGTGAAACAGAGGCCTTTTAATTGTAAACATTTCTTAAAACGTATTGGTTTTCACGCCAAACTGCGATTTGACTTTACGCCACTGTTAGCTGAATTACAGCCAAGTTTATGAGATACAAGGTCAAAGGAAATGTCGTCATGTGTTTGAGCACTGACGTCCCCAGTTTCAGGCCGTCTGTGAAAGATCTAGTTTTACCGATTAACGGGACGAGGTTGATATTTCCCATATTAAAAAACACGAGGGATGAATTCTATTTACCATTTTCACATTTTTGCTTCCAAATTAAGGAATAATTGCATTAAACATTAACATCAGCAACTTGTCGAAATCTTACGTGCGTATTCTCACTCGTGCGTAGTGATACCTTTTTCCATAGCCATGTAAACCAAAATAAACAATTCGCTGAGAAAAAAAGTTCCTCGGATTATTTTAAACAAAATACTTGAACAGACTTTGGCTGAATAATTGAAACTTTAATAACGGTAACAACAACGATTCTGTGTAATCTGATTATATCTCTGGTGTAACTTCACTTATAATATATTATATAGTTTCAAATCAAACCACTCTCTCTTCCGGTTAGCTAATTTGCATATATAATTTGCATACTTATGTCATTGGGGTATGACATACATGTTTTTATGTCATAAGCTTATGTCATGGATAAATGCTTTAGTTAAATGATAAATAGAGGATTCATCACTCGTTTTTTTAAATATGGGAAATATCAACCTCGTCCTGTTAATCGGTATTTGCCTGGCCAAAGGCTCGGCAAATACCGATTAACTAAGACTAGGTTGATATTTCCCATATTAAAAAACGCTCGTGATGAATGCTCTATTTATTACCCATATGGGCTCAAATATGCAGTGTGCAATTAGTGATTCTCGAAGCTGATTGGTCAGTTAAACAAATGTCAATTTTCATTGGTCGACGGGACTATTTTTCTCTCATTGAGTTCATTCACAAATCCAGGGCATTCATTCACATGTTTCACGTGCTACAATCTCACTTAATCGAGATTTATAAGACTAGAACATAGAGTCATATAAACCACATTATTTCACATTTTAATGAATAAAGCATTTATTTCGCACGAGTTTTAGTTTACAATAAGCGTAATTACAAAAAAGAAAAATACGTCTGCGTTGTTTGTAAACAAACATGGCTGACCATTTGACACCTGTCAAAGTAAATGACCCCGTTAAAGTGGACGGAGATCTGACAGGAAGAGTTATTCGCATAATTCAACCTCTGAACACATTTAATGTATTTGTTGTCAAAACTGCATATGGCCAGATAGAAGTTCCAAGATTCAGATTGCGAGTTTTGCCAGAGACTATTTCTAGTGCGCAAAACACAACACCACCAAGTCCGGGGTTGCCAGCGTCTGTGCTAGAGGACTTGCTGTTTGACGACTTTTTCGACCCCCCGAATCCAAACACCGGACTGAATGCAGACAGGTTTGCCTTTGTGAACGATGATGACATGGAACAGTTCTTAACTGCCAATGAAAACGAAAACACTATGAAAAAGACTAAACTTGATATGAATTTTGTGCACAAATATATACAGGAAAGTTTAAATGACACAAGAAAGGTGGAAGAAATTAGCCCCAGTGAACTTTACATTATTATTTGTAAATTTTTCATTTCGGCACGCAAATCAGATGGTTCGGAATACGAACCGTCTACTCTGAAGGGAATCAAGGCTAGCATTGAGCGTTACCTCAAGCAACACGATTACAAACATCTGCTGGCCGAATCTATGCACTTAGCTAAACTGAGGGAGGTTTTGAAATCAAAACAAAAATCATTAAAAAAGCAAGTAAAAGGAAACTTACCCCAGCGAGCTGATCCTGTGTCCGACATGGAACTGAATAAACTCCGTGAATCCGGACAGCTTGGCACTAAGTCTCCAGATGCTGTGTTAAAAACATTGTGGTGGAACAATACAGTCTTCTTTGGACTGCGGTCGGCCACGCCCCACAGAAGCATGCAGTGGGGCGACGTCACACTCAAGACTGATTCCGATAATAAGGAATATTTAGAGTAATTGGAACGCCAGTCAAAAACATGACAGGGTGATCAATCCCGTGACTTGGCACCCAAAGCGTGGGCTCAACCTGGGGATGAATGTTGTCCGGTGGCAGTATACAAGTTGTATCGGGATGTTCGCCCGCGAGACTTTAGCAATGATGCGAGTCCATTTTATCTTGCACCAAACACACAGTTCGGCGTAAAATCCGAAAACACCTGGTTAAAACGCCAACCTGTTGGTAGAAACAAGTTAGGCTCTCTCATGAAGACCATGGCATCCAGGGCTGGACCGTCGTCAGACAAAAGGTTGAGGAACCACAGCGCTAGAAAACGAATGATCCAAACTTTATCCGACAATGGTGTCCCAGCGCATCAAATTATGCAAGTTTCTGGCCACAAGAACGTCCAGTCCATCAACAGTTATTCGACAATAATGAATCACAACATCAAGATATCAACAAAATCCTGTCATCTTCTATATCCACTCCACAAGCGTGTTTGTCAAATCCACCCAGAATCCCAGATGCACTAGTTCCCCATCAATCTGCACAGTGTCATGTTTCCCATCAGTCACACTTGTCACAAATCACACATGACGTCCATTCCCTGCACACGGTGCACACCCTGTTCTCGGGGCCCATATATGGAGGGGTTTTTAATTTCACCATTTCTTCCAACGACTCGGGTCACTCCACTGTCGACAGTCATCTACCGGCCCCGAAGAGAAGAATACTCATTGATTCTGACTCTGAGTAGTCTACAGAATTTCTTGTCCGGAATAAACTTGCAACTTGGTTTCAGCTGTCTCAAATCTGGGTCAAGTCGGGTCATTCTTTCCGACACTGACAGCAATCGTATTTTTCAAAGTTTACCTACTTTTCGTAACTTTTCTCAATCAAACATGACTTCTGTACATTCCTTCTATGTTGTTGATACAGTTTTTGGCATTTTTATCGAATAACACATGAAAAAATTGACAGGTTTTCCGTGTTTCCTCTTCTCAATGTGAAGTGCATGTATCTGCCGATGCACGACGGGGGCTGTCTGTCAGTGACGAGATCTTGTCGAAAAAAGCTTTGATTAAAAACCCTGATGAACTTTTTTGGAAACCTGTCTTCTTTATCAATGCTAGATAGTGTACGCTGTGTAAATCGGACAGAAATATAACTGCAATAATGTGATCTTTACAATTTTTTAACAGAACTATATTTTTCACGCGTAACAACACGTTAATTGAGTAATGCGGTTGGAATGAGTGGACAGTGTTTTTTCACACGCGGATTGATATAAAACAGCTGATTCTTGATCGGCGACAGTTAGTTGATTGTTTTTTTCTTGAAACATGTCTTTAATATGAATATGGGTATTAAAGAATAACCCACTCGGTACGAGTGATTACGGAAAATATGTCACTCTTGAAATTAATGTTTTAAGTTCCTCGCTAAAACTCGGAACTTAAAACATTAATTTCACTCGTGACATATTTTCCGTAATCACTCAAAGCTCGGAACTTAAAACATTAATTTCACGAGTGACATATTTTCCGTAATCACTCGTACCTGGTGGGTTTTTCTATTTTTATGCGATTAATGATGAGTGCCAGGCAGTGAAACAACAAGTACCATCTGTTAAGTCTTTTGGTGTGACGCGGTCGGGCACTGAATCATCGGCCTACAGCTCTCTGAGCAGATGCCCAATCTACTAGACCACAGAGGTTATTATTATTATCGGAAGTATACACACAGTTCTCGGTGCATTATTTTATGAGATATGCAGTTCAATATCATATTATACATGGCTATTTCGATTTGAAAAAAACATGTTTGTTGGTCTGGTTGCACTCAATAATCCAGATGACCACTTAAATAATCAAATATGGACCAGACAATTCAGTGATTGATATCTTGAGTGAAAAGTCTACCCGTTCTATGATGTATGTGTAGTCACGATACTGGGGCTGTGTTAAAACCTATGACCCTGTTGGTCTTAATTGTATGAAATGCTATGGGCCTGTGGGAGAACTAATTGTATTAAAACCTATATGGTCCTATAGGACCTAATTGTATTAAATGCTATGGGCCTATAGGACCTAATTGTATTAAATGATATAGGTCTATAGGACCTAATTGTATTAAATTCTATAGGCCTATAGGACCTAATTGTATTAAATTCTATGGGCCTATAGGACCTAATTGTATTAAATTCTATGGGCCTATAGGACCTAATTGTATTAAATTCTATGGGCCTATAGGACCTAATTGTATTAAATTCTATGGGCCTATAGGACCTAATTGTATGAAATGCTATGGGCCTGTAGGACCTAATTGTATTAAATTCTATGGGCCTGTAGGAGACCTAATTGTATTAAATGCTATGGTCCTATAGGACCTAATTGTATTAAATTCTATGGGCCTTTAGGACCTAATTGTATTAAATGCTATGGGCCTGTAGGAGACCTAATTGTATTAAATCATATGGGCCTATAGGACCTATTTGTATTAAATTCTATGGGCCTTTAGGACCTAATTGTATTAAATGCTATGGGCCTGTAGGAGACCTAATTGTATCAAATGCTATGGTCCTATAGGACCTAATTGTATTAAATTCTATGGGCCTGTAGGAGACCTAATTGTATTAAAACCTATGGGCCTATAGCACCTAATTGTATTAAATGCTATGGGCCTATAGGACCTAATTGTATTAAAACCTATGGGTCTGTAGGAGACCTAATTGTATTAAATCATATGGGCCTATAGGACCTAATTGTAATAAATTATATGGGCCTGTAGGAGACCTAATTGTATAAAAACCTATGGGCCTGTAGGAGACCTAATTGTATTAGATCCTATGGGCCTGTAGGAGACCTAATTGTATTAAAACCTATAGGCCTGTAGGAGACCTAACATTGTGTTTGTTGTTTTTGTTTGTAGTTGTAGTTATCTGTCCTGTAATCAGTTGTCTTGTGTTACTAAACAACTATGGGAATCTACTCAGAAGATACTGTAGTTTTTTTCATAAATATCTTGTACCTAGCTGTGTGTTGTGTGAGGTCAGTTGGATTCATTAGTATGTTAATAATAAATCTGTATACACCACAAATAACATTAGTTTGTTAACACCAATTGCATAGAATGAGAAGTGCATACATAGGGCATATACGGTAAACTGCGCAAAGTGTTCAGACAAGGAACATGACATTTACTTTGGTACATACGGTAAACATTCATATGCGAAGTTTTAGTAAAGATACTAAGGTACACGGTAGAAGATATAGCTCAGTTTTAGAGAGGATATCTAGTTTCATAAGTGATCCTATTTGATGACTGCGGTAATCTATCACCAAGGAGACGTAATAATTTCGGCATAAACGGTAAATAAAATAACAGGGTCATTGATCCGGATAAAGATACGAAGGTACGCGACAGGAGATAGATATCAGTTTTAAATGAGAGAATAGTAAGTTTTCAGTAGCGATCATTTTGGTGACTACGGTAATGTATCACTCAGGCGATGTTATATTGACCAGGCGCATTTCCCATAGCTAACGAACTACATGATAACAGACCTGTGAAGATCCGGGGTAGAATGGGTCTTCTGCAACCAATGCCTGCCGTAAAAGGCGATTATGCTTGGCGTAAGAGGCGAGTAACTGGATCGGGTGGTCAGGCTCGCTGATTTGATTGATGCATGTCATTGATCCCAATTGTGTGGATCGATGCTCATGATATTAATCACTGGATTGTCTGGTCCAGACTCGATTATTTACAGACCGCCGTCATATAGCTGGAATATTATTAGTTGTGGTGTCTTTGGTTGCCGTATACGGTGTCATATTAGGTTAGCAGAAAAATATTTGGCGAATTTATTATGCGGAAAAGTTTACACTATTTGGTATCTTTGTTGCACATGTCATGTCAAAACTTAAAACTAAAAAATTAACACTTACAACCTAAGACGGTAAGGGTCAAAGGGAGACTACTCTTCAAACCTTAAAAAAAAGCATCAAGAAATATATGCAATGTAATAAATCCAAGGGGGGATTATCTCTTGGGCTCAATGAATGTTCCCCCCCCCCCCCGGCCATGTGACGAGGGGGGCCTAGCGATAGTTCTCAATCATGTTTTAACCCCAGCGGTGTTAACATATGTAATTACTGCAATATATATATATTTGTAAAAAGTGAAATATCACAGAGAACCCGTTACCATTACAATTCTTCTTTTATAAAGGCCCTCTGAGACAATACAGACCCGATTGTGTACTGTTTAAGTAATGAGAGGCTAGCTACTAAATTACAAAACTTAAGCTACAGATTTTCGTTGGGATTCAGGGCCAGAAAACCACCACAGAACCCTAAATGCTGGCCGCAACACCGCTAAGCTTACAATCAGGTTAAGATATGTGACGTCGGCGTTTGTGTGCTGTGCTGTGCTGTGCTGTGCATCCTGGTGGTGTATAGACTTTTGCTCATGCCATCGACCACTGGTTTGTATTGTTTGACTGCACGCATTATATACATGTATATGCTTGATTTGCTTGTTTGCGTGTTCTTTTGCTTGCTTTGCGTTGCTTGCTTATGCTATTGCTCAGTGCAGGTGCATTCATTGTCTCACTGACCCGTCCGTTAGAATAGGCCTTCAGCAACCCATGCTTGCTGCATGTAAAATGCGACTAACGGGATCGGGTGGTCAGGCTCGCTGAGTTGGTTGAGGCATGTCATCATCGATGTTTATTATTTCAAACACTGGATTGTCTGGTCCAGGCTCGATTATTTACAGACCGCTGTCGTGTAGCTGGAATATCGCTGAGTGCGGCGTTAACCAACCAAACAAACATTGTCTCACTGACTGAATAAAGCGGCTGACAAACTTCTGAAGAATGGCCATTTGGGTAACCAGCTTCCTTTGTTTGTGATGAGAGGGGCCGAGTGCAGTCTGCAGTTCAATATGATAGAACTGACTGAAGCAACAGAGAAATATTTGAAAACAGCCCTTACCAGAAACCAAGTTTTGATACAGTGGTTTCAAGTCTGATCCTGACTATGAGGTGTAGCAAAGAAATAATTTACATTTCTCCTGTTTTCCACGTCCATTTTTTCAATTTTTAACCCCACGGTAAAACATTCATTTAACTATATATCTGCAAAAGATTGTTTCAATGAAGGATTGGAACTCTCTATTTTCAAGACGTAACACGCGACCAACTGCGCCACAAACACTAGTCATACCTTAACATTTAATATGAATGTGATCGGGAATATATAAATTATGGTTTGATTGCTCGGGTTGAGTGGGGTTGGGTTGCATTGGGTTGGGTTACCGCTGGGACGATAGTTCGATGACAGGAATTTTGATTGTCTCACAAATATCTGAAGCAGCCTGTGCTTGTCGTGAGAGGGGCTGAGTGGGGAGGGGCTGAGTGTGTGTGTGTGTGTGTGTGTGTGTGTGTGTGTGTGTGTGTTTGTGTGTGTGTGTGTGTGTGGGGGGGGGGGGGGGGGGGGGGGGGGGGGGGTCGGATGGTGGTGGTGGTGGTGGTGGGGTGGCGAGATGCGGGAAGGGACGTGCATTGCTCTAATGATGTCTTATAAAATTTGACGCAGCGGTAAAAGATTCATTCAGCTATGCATGTATATTATCTACAAAATATAATGAAAAATGATTGTTACACACAAGGATTTGAACACACGATCTCTGTTTTAATAAAACACTACTCGCTACCGACTGCATACAAATACACATATAATGTCAGATGTAATTTTCTTAGTCATACCTAAACATTTTTCGAGGTTCCCGAAAGGAATTGAACATGCCACATTTAACATGAATATGTACAGGAATTTACATATTTTGACTCGATTGCTCATTCGTGATGTTAGAGACGGGGCCGAGCTTGCAGGGCTACCCACGGCCGACTTGAAACCGCTGTGACGTCAGAACAGGCGATGATGACGTCATACGCTCTGTACCTGAACTATGTGACCTTGGTCCTGAGACAGCTGACAAAGACGCTTTATGCGGTCAAATTTCTGTTGATATTCGGCCAGAAAACGGGTCAACTTAAAGATGACGTTTACTGCCCATTGCTTCAGTGTATGGAACCAGATTTGGAATTGAAGAAATGCCATAATTACTATCCTAATTTACGTGTATTGATAAGGCCACGGAATGTTTTTTTAAAGGAGTTTCAGAAAGAAAATGATTTATATTACGTTGATAAATTATCTATAACGTCACGTGACCACCGCCATATTGGTCTGAAGCTGGATCCAGAGGCGAGACGACAGTGACAGAAGTACAAAATAAGGTGGAGG